GATCTACTCTCTACATACAATGTCACCATGAAACTCTGGAGCAGGGGTTCTCAACCCTGGCAACTTTAAGACTTGTGAACTTCAACTCCCAGAATTCCACAAGTCTTAAAATTGCCAAGATTGAGAATCCCTGCTCTGGAGTCAAGTTGCTGAATGGGAGGAAGACAAATCAAGCTAGAGCATGGGTCCTTTAAGCAAATGAAGATTCTGTGCTCAATTAAAATAGAAACAATAGGTTTTCAAAATAGTAAAATATATTAAAGTTACCTTGATCAATAAAACACCACCAAGCAGACCTTGACTCCAGTTGAGCAACAATGTTATTTTTTTTTTTTTCTTGAAAACTAAGGTAGGAATACAAGTTTAAGGAAGAGTTGTATTTTCTTTCCATGAAAAAAACATCCCTGGAATCTGCGGCATTTTTGTTATTTAAAATTATCAGATAAATTAATAGTTCCTCTTCAAGACAAGATACCTGACTACTCATATAACATACATGCCCACCTACTCAAACACCTATTTTACTGTTCAAAAGAAATAGACTTTATGGCCTGTGCTTTTAGGAAAAAAGAACTGTCCCTCCTAATCTGAAAACCATTATATATAGAAAAGAATATATATAGCTCAGAACCGATTTGTGGAGCCTCTCATGCTCTCTGAGCTTGGTTGTTTGTTTGTAGACATTTCATTACTCAACTAGATATCATCATCAGTGCTAGGGAGTGTGGGGTTGTAAGTATGGAGTGTAAGGAGTTATTCCTACCCTTACTAGTGATGTAATAAAATATCTGCAAGCAAACAGCCAAACTCAGAGAGCACCAAGAACTGTTGCATATGGCAGACGGAGCAGTACTGACTTCTTTAGTATTTTGACTGGCAACAGAATTTAATTCTACTCATGTACTTCTTAGATGTGGAAGCTGAAATTTAAGGAAATAAATGCAGTTTGAAACAGGACACAAGAGAACTGAAGTCAGGTTAGGTTGAGGGCTTTAAGTTTTTACAAGCCATTATGCTGGGTGTCCTCATAAAAAATTATAACTCCCTTCAAAAAGAAGCCACAGCTGGAAGAAAGCCCACACCAATCTGCCAATATGGTTTCTATAACAAGCAGAATTTACATAGCATGACACAATGGGGAAAAAATGGAAGTGGAAAAACTCAAAGGAATAAAAATTGCGGTGGTTTTAAGCTTGTTCACGCAACATTTGCTTTAACATTTGTCAACAAGTTATAGCCATGTAAGACACATTCAAATTAAAGGGATCATTTAAGCCATGCCAAAGTGTGGGGTAATAATTCAGATATTTTACTGAATTTAACATCCCAGTGCTGTGGAGATGTTTAAAGTTATTGGCTAGGTTTATTTATTACATTAAGTCATAACATTGCTTGGTTTTTTGGGGGGGAGGAGTTAATGTGATGCATAAACCCAGATGTTGTAACTTAGTTGCTTAGCTGAAGAAGCCAGGTTAAAATTGTCCTGGCCTAAGATTAGGCATGACTACAACCATTTCTCTTGACAATTATATCTGCATTTAGAGGTTTGCACTGCAGTCTGCAAAGTTCAATAGGGCTTACTTTGAAGTAATCACACGTAAGACCAGAAGAAGAATATACTCCTTTTAAATGTACTCAGGACAACATCCTATGATCTATGTTATTAGAAAACTAGATTAGGCTCTTTCTAGCAAAATGAGAACCAATGGATGGAAACTAACCAAGGAGAGAAGCAACCTAGAACTAAGGAGAAATTTCCTAACGGTGAGAGCAATCAACCAAAATAACAATCTGCTCTCAGAAATTGTGGGTGCTCCGTCACTGGAGATTTTCTGAAAGAGACTGGAGACTTATTTGAAATGGTATAGGGCAGTGGTGGCGAACCTATGGCACACATGCCAGAGGCGGCACTCAGAGCCCTCTCTGTAGGCGCTTCTCTGAACTGGTGGGCTGTGGAGCCCCAGAATGTACCGGTCGAGGGGCTGGCAGGCTGTGGCTGCTGACGGACACTGTCGGCCTCCATGTCCTCACTGGCCTGTGTGTGCGGAGGCCGATAGTGTCAGGCAGTAGCTGCCACGGCCCCTGCCTTGCCTTGCCCTGAGATAATGGCACCCCCACCCTGCCTCACCTTGCCTCACCCCGCAGGACGAGCCTCCTGCCCACTACCCCACCTGCTAGAGACCCCCTGGATCTCCTCCAACCCTGCCCGGCCCCCACAGGCATCCCTCCTCACAAGCAACATCGAGATGACCACACCTACCATGGCCACACCCACCCAGTCTGCCATGACCACCACAGCCATGCCCACCCAGTGGGCCATGCCCACCTGGCACCCGGCGATAAATAAGTAGGTTTTGGGTTGCGGTTTGGGCACTCGGTCTCTAAAAGGTTCGCCATCACTGGTATAGGGTCTCTTGCTCCAGCAGGGGGTTGGACTAGAAGACCTCCAAGGTCCTTTCTAACTATATTATTATTCTATGTTCTAGCAATCTAGCTGTTATCTTATTGAATACAGGTAGTTCTAGATTTATGGCCACAATTGATCCCAAAATTTCTATCTCTAAGCAAGACAGATGTTAAGTGAGTTTTGCTTCATCTTATGATCTTTCTTGTCAATAGCTATTAAGTGAATCAATAAATTGTTAAGTTAGTCAAATGGTTAAGTGAATCTGGTTCCCCATTGATGTTGCTTGACCCCAGGATGCTGCAGCCATCATAAATACATATTAGTTGCCAAGTGCCTGAATTTTGATCAAGTGACCATGGGGGGAAGGGTGTTGCAATGGACATAAGTGTGGAAAAACAGTCATAAGTCACTTTTTTCAGTGCCATGGTAACTTCTAATGGTACTAAACAAATGGATGTAAGATGAGGATTACCTGTATCAAACATTTATTTTCAGAAGTAATTCTCAAATGAGTACATCAAGGAATAATTAAAATTAACATTGACATTTCTATGCATGGATTAAAGATGCTTTAAGATCCCTGATGGCTCAGTGGTTAGAATGCAGTGTTGCATGCTAATTCTGCTGACTGCCAGCTGTTTGATTCTGACCTGCTCAAGGTTGACTCAACCTTCCATACTTCCGAGGTTGGTAAATGAGGACCCAGATTCTTGGGGGCAATATGGTGACTCTGTAAACCACTTAAAGAGGGCTGTAAAGCACTGTGAAGCAGAATATCAGTCTTTTGCTCTTTGGGGATACTGAGGCCTTTTCTTCCTTTGTTTCCCTGCCATTAACCTCTGATAAAGAAATCCCCTGCACACAAGCCTTAAGTTTCCCCATGGCTACAATTACCACTTTCCTAAGGAGACCCTGATCTGAAACATTGTGAGGCAAGAAAGAGAAAGAAGGATGTGGTTAGAAAAGGCATCATTTAATCACCTATCTTCCCTCTTAAGGATCCCCTTTGGAGGATCTGTTCTTTTTTGCAACTAAGTGGGTTTCCTGTTTCCTTTTCTCTGTTGTGTTTTCCTGACATCCAAGCTACAGAGATGAATAGGATGGGATCTGCAACTTCCTGGGATGGACAGAGGCCTGCAAAGGGAGGAGCGATTATGAGGTTTTTTTCCTCTTGAAATGTTTAGCACCCCTCCATTAGAAGAAGTGATAATAACTGCACTTCCTGTGCTTTGAAATCATGCTGACAGGATCTGCATAAAGTGCTCTAGCCCAGTGAATGAGATAAAAGTAGATTGAGGAGAGAAACATGCAGACAATTGCCAAAGAAAACATCATGGCAAACCCTTTAGCTTAGATTCCTGAACAGGAAAAGGATTCAGTCCTCACTGGAGAAATGTGACGATAAAGTTAGCAACCTTACTTTTTTATAGAATGTATAGGCCGCCCCCAATCTGTCATGACTCCATACAATCCTTGAGATAGCACATTCAAGACTAGTTGGTTGTGATCGATAAAATATTTAAGTTGCTGTCTCAATGTCTTTTGGGAGAAAGGTATAGATAGGTAAACCTACATAATGCAGTAGATAATGATCAAAGCACAATAATGTCCTAGAGAATACACCTCCCTCCCTCCTTTTCAAGGAACACTCATAAATTGTCCAACTATTTAATCTTAGAAACTTTGACAGGCATCAGAACCTGGCTGAATTTCAAGTTTTGTTTGATTTTTCTAAAATGGCCTATTTAGGAGGAAAGTGAATCCCAGCTATTTTCAGGAGCACTAAATATTGCTTTGGGGTTACTCTAACTGAAGGTGAATCTATTTGTAATTTTTTTTTAAAAAAAAGAGCTTTTCTATCAGTTTGAGATGTATATCTCTTTATAATACTTATATTCCTATAAAAAGATAGAGTACATAAATCATGTACCAGAATGGGAGAAATTATGCCAATTTATCCAGTCCTGGAAGAGAAAAAAAACTTTTTGAGCGCAGAAAATTGCCCATAAAATTCTCTTCATATAAAGACCAGTAAACATCAATAATCAGTCACTCACCCCAATGAAGGCAAAAGTAATCTTTGTTTGCAACAGGCTAAAAATACAGTAGGAGAGCTTAAATATTTGACACAAAATACAGTAAGTTACAATCCTCAGGATTTGGTTCATGCGGTTATCAGCTAACTGGTGAAATCTATTTCATTTTTCATGGTAAGATTTTTATGTGTAGTAAAGAAGCATGTATTTTAAGCTCTGTCTGCCTTATCACGTGTCATAACTTCTCTGCCATTTTCAAAAAGAATGGCCCAGTCCAAAAACTGTGCAAAACCAGGGTTTATTTTTAACATGGTTTATTAAGTAAGCCACCAGTGACTTAAGTTACACTAATACAAAGGCACCACATCTTAACACAGTGTGTGAACTGGATTATTAACTCTTTCGGGCAAAGTATTACTTGTTCATTTACAAGAATCTAACACCACAGATCTTCAATTTAAGTTAGCCTGACTTTCAGAGTTCTGTCAAATTGTTGGACTCCCATTCTGCGCACTGGAGTCAGTTTAATTAATTAAACATAAGATCACCAGATAAGGCATATTTAAAAGATTTTATTAAACTTGCCAAACAATTTTTATGTTCAATATAATAAAACCAGTGTGTATAACGCATGTCAGAATAGACACCATGTAGCACTTTGGGAAAAATTAAAATTCCATACAGTGTACAGTTAAGTGCCACACCCAAGAATTTACAGACACAGTAATTTACTGCAATTAGTCACTTGAAAAATAGTTTCTGAAAGAAACATGCCTTGTACTCCATTTGCAGAGGGGAAAATGCCAGAGTACTTTAGGGTACACTCTGAAAAAAAAGTCAGTCTTTCAAGGTATTTTCAGTAACGAGAGCATCCCACACTAATTAAAGTCCCTCTGAGTCCATCAGGATTAGGAGAAAGCAAACACTGCTAATGTCTCTGGCAAGTATGTAGTCGTGAAGAATTGCTGAGAGTGTGATCTTTTTGCAGCTGACAAGTCAGTCCGTCCCCACAGTAACACCGCTGGAAGAGTTCCAAACCATGAGAGCCTTTTTTGTGGTGCTTTGTACACACCTGACCTTCCTTAAGGACAGGTTTGCAAATCTTGGACCAGAAGTGACGGGCGCAACAGAGTCCTTCAGTGCAGTCTGAGGAACGGAGACATACAGCTCCTTGGCCTTAGGAAAGAGAGAGAGAGTGAGTAAAAGAATACAGAACATTTCTTCACAAGCTCATTTCATACTGAGGTAACTTGAAATCCTGCCCTAAGCTGATGCTCTTCCCATTATAATTCCAGCAGCCAAAGCAAGGAAAGGCAATAGGAGTAGTGATCTGACACACTTATGAAGCACAAAGATGGAGAAAGCCAAACTAATATAATAGATTTGGGGTCATTTGATAGAAAGCCTGAATTGCTATTATTGGTATCTACTATTGGCATCCACCACAGGGGTGAAATAATTAGTGTAAGCATGCTGTACATATTGCCACAGGTTATCAAACGATATGTACCCGCAACACCCTTTGGTCCTGTGTCAAATATTTAAGCTCTCCTAGCAAACAGGAGTAGACCCCTGCAAGCTATGTAAGCGAACAAGCAAGATTATATTCTCTAGCCTAGCTAAACAGTATTATTATGAGAAGGAAAACTACACTGGAAAAAGCACCCCACTGAACTAGGCAAATAAAAGACTGAAAAAAAAAAGAGCAGACATTGAAAACCAATCTAAATAACTGAAGCTCAGAAAATAATAGTTTGAAGCAGAAACTAAGAAGCATATCCACAAAGTCTTTAAGTTTTCCTAATAGCAATTGAACCTGTACATGTAACCCTTGACTTACCACAGTTTATTGACCATTCAAAGTTACAACAGCACTGAAAAAAGTAAGCTGTGACCATTTTTCACACTTATAACCATTGCAGCATCCACATGGTCACATGATCAAAATTCAGCCGCTTGGCAAGTGATTCATATTTATGATGGGTTGCAGTGTCCTGGGGCCATGTGATTGCCTTTTGCGACCTTCTGACAAGCAAAGCGTTGCTAACTTCACTGCAGTGATTCACTTAACACAGTGGTTCTCAACCTGTGGGTTGGGACCCCATTTGGGGTCGAACGACCATTTCACGGGGGTCGCCAAACGCAGTCCGCCATTTTTGCCCCCTTTTCCTTAGCTGTGCTACTCCCTTTTATTCTATTGGCTTTTGAAAGCCAATAGAATAGACTCTCTTGAATAGAGTCTAATTCTATTGGCTTTCAAAAGCCAATAGGAATTGTTCAGGCTGTCTCTGCCCTGCTGAGCCCGCCAAAAGTCCCATTCTGCAAACAGTGCTGCACCAGTTGAGTAGTCCTCGACTTACGACCGGTTGGGGATCGCGGCATTAAAAAGGTTGAGAACCACTGACTTAACAAATGTGGCAAGAAAGGTCGGAAAGTGGCACAAAACTCATTTAACTGTCTTGCTTAGCAACAGAAATTTTGGGCTCAAATTGTGGTTGTAAGTTGAGGACTACCAGCATTGCTTTCCAAAAGGTATTCAGAGTCCTCTAACAGCTGTCATTTTATGGAGTCCAAGCTTGCTTGGATCAACCCAAAATCAAGCACATTCTTTCAGCACTGAAACACGTTTCAGTGACAATGATATTTATTCTTTTCTGGATTTAAAAGCACTGCGTTATTGGCCTTACCTTTTATGTGATACATTTGGGATGACGTCGTGGTCCTTTTCAGATGGGAGTCCAAAGTACCATGGTCAAAATTTTCTGTGATGATTTCAAACCTTCCAGGATGAAAGTGGTCAAATTCTACACACATACCTGATAAAAGGGGGGGGGGGAATCATGAACATCTGTCAACTTCCCAAGGATTAAAAAAAAATGTTAATATTCTGGATATTGACTATTCAGATTCTAGAGGACTGCAGATTATTCACTTAGGCAGAAACTATCTATAGATCACAGAGAATCCAAACCACATAAATGACTTGGTGCAGATCTTTTTTTAAGTTTTCTCTGTTAAAATAGGAATTTTCCTTAGCACTGGAGCCTGAATGAGTATCAGCAAGGAGTGTATCCAAGCACTAATGTGATTATTAGATAATTAGATTCTTTTAAAGCTTGACTTGAGATACTAGGATAGCCTCAGAAAAAGGGTATAGCTTAGTAATATGTTGCAGGAAAAATATCCAGGTACTGCTTGGAGTTTTATTAAATTTGAACAGCCATTGATGAAAAAAAGATGCTAGTTAAGATGTTCAGTGGGTACTTGGCTCATGCAGAGAAAAGAGATTAAACTGTATGCAAGGAAGTTATTTAATAATGAATGTTTGCTTCTTTAAAATTGCAGAACTCTTAATAGCCCTTCCTAAACAAGGCAAAAAATAGCGTGTCTCGTTCCTTGTAGAATGGATTCCAGAATACTGAGTAATACACCTTCTATTAACACAATACAAAGAGAAGCAATCTGAAACTTCCTAACAGTGAGAAAAAATAACCAGTGGAATGGTTTGCCTTTAGAAATTGTGGGTGCTTCATCACTGGAGGCTTTTAAGACAGACACCCACTTGTCTGAAATGGTATAGATCTCATGCTTGAGCAGGGGATTGGACTAGAAGACCTCCAAGGTCCCTTCCAGCTCTTTTCTGACTAGTTTTTCTTTATTTCAAAGTAAGGATGCTTAGAATTTACAACCTAACCTCTTTTGGTTTTTGCCAATATCCCTTGGCCTTAAAAACAACAAATCCACAAAACTCTCCATGGACAGATGCAAGAGGGGTCCCTTTACTTCTAACCCTATGAGACTACACAATCCACTTATGGATGATCTCAAAAATACCAAACCCTTCTAGGTTAGAATCTGGGTTCAAGACACCCCCCCCCCAGGAGTGCATACTAGGCCAGGAATCCCAGAAGAAGGATGGCCAGTCCATTCCATCAGGAAGCCACAAAACACTACTACATGGAGGTGTCCAGGCAAGAGAGGAGCAAACTTGAGGGACCCGATCTCCATACCCTTTCAGGACCCACGAAGGCTTCTCAAAAGACCAAAGAATTCTTCGGATGGCAGGGAGATGTCAGGGTGATGCTGGAGAAGTTCCTTTCTCGGATTTTTAAAAAGTTTGAAGGCTCCGTTTGTCTCCCCCCCCCCCCGCCACCTCCTCCTCCCGGGACCCTCGAACGCACCGTTGTTGCAAAAGTTGCCCGAACAGCACATGGCGTCGCGGAAGCAGCGCTTGCGGCGTTTGCGGCAGGTCAGACAAACCAGTCCCCCTCCTCCTCCTCCTCCGGAGACGCCCCCTCGGGCAGTGGTGGAGCAAAACTCTTCGGCGTTGCAATCCTCGTCCGCGGCGCACAAGGCAAGCTGCGAGAGGGCAGAAGCGGAGGAATAGGTGAGACGCAAGCCACGGTGTCTCACCTTGCCCTGACCAGCCCCCTCCCCGCCCAACTGACCTACCTTCTGTGAATCGCCGGCACGGCTTTTATTGCTGCCGTCGTACATTGCCCCGCTCCCTCCGCTAAGCGAGGAGCCGCCGGAGAGCGGGTTCTTGATGGAGTTCGAGCCCAGTCCGTTCGAATTGAAAGGGAGGCCGCCGGCGGCGGTTCCAAACCAGGTGGGGAAGCAGAGCGCCACCGCCACGGCCGCCCACGCCCGGCAGGCTCCGCGGCCACGCAGGGCGAGCATCTTCGTAAAGGCGAGCCCGACGAGGCAACCTGCGGGAGGAAGGCGGAGACGCGTATCCAAGTGGAGACTCTCAGCTTGGCGGCTTTGGGGCTGCCTTTATAGGCTCGACGCCTTTTAGATTCCCGCCTCTCGAAGGGAGGGAGAGGGAAGAGGGCGCGCAAGATAAACGAGGGTGGGGTTATAAAACGGAAGGTGGGGTGGAGGTGGAGAAAGCTACGGGACATTCTCCGCAAAGTCACGGGCTCATTGGGCGTTCGGGATTTGTATGTGTGTGTGTGCGCGCGCGCCCTGGGGGGGGGGGAAATAAATGAATGGTTCTCCAAACAGTTGGTACGACTTCGTTATTATCATGCGAGTAGTTTCCGTGCGAGAGGAGATCCTGCGTGGATCCCCTACTCGCATATTTGAGGCACGCTCTGCTTGCAAAAGCGGGAGGGGAGGGGGGTCTGTCCTACCCGTTGTTGCTTTGGTTGCCCCACAGAAGGGGCGCAGAGAATCGGAGCAAAAAAAAAAAAAAAAAAAAACCCCACCCCGTTGCCTCTTTCTCTTGGGACGAATCGCAACCGGAGTTCTCTAAGAGTAGTTTCGGAGTAATTCGGGGCTCCCGCGTCCTCACCCAATCGGGATGGGGAGAGTCGAGGCGCCTAAGATGTTAGGAGGAGAAACGACGCTTTCGCACGGATCTTATTCTTTCCCCTTTGCCATTCTTGCAGCTCCATCCTAGGTGGGTTTATTCCAAAATTCAAGCCGGTTCAATAAAAGGGAATTAATGAATCCCCCGAAAGCCTGAATAGATCTGCTTTCCGGAGAGTCTAAACTTTGAACGGGCTCCGTACTATTTTACTCCATAAAAGTTGGAGGGGCTCCGTACTATATTTTATTCCAAAAATGCTGCGCGGGGGGGGGGGAAGCATAAACTCCTCTGGATGGGCTAACACGTAGATGGTGAGTTTTGAGGATTGCAGCTCTTAAGTGTTTAGCCGAGGAGACTCAACCCTTCCCCGGCTTTCTTTTTAAATCGATATTTTAGTTTCAGAATGTAATCATCTAACGGGGCTGTGAATGGGTAACAGCTGGATACTTCCCCTTGGTATTTCATTTTCCACCGAGGCCTCCGACGTCCTCACCGAGGGGCGCGATTTCCAGACACACACGCACACCCAAGAAAGGAACCGGCAGGGGCGGGGCGCCCTAATGGCTCTTTGGTGCGCTGCTTCGAAGCCGGAGGAAGGGCGAGAGACCGCCGTTTAGTATAATCGCAGCTTAAGGGGGAAAGGGCGAATGGCTCTTTGGAATTTGAAGGAGAATATTTGTAGCTCAGGGTTGCAGTGAGGGGTCCTTGGTGCTCTCGGAGCTTGCTTGTTTCCTTGCAGACGTTTCATTCCCCTAACTAGGTAGCATCATCAGCACTGACTTTACCTAGTTAGGGGAATGAAACGTCTGCAAGGAAACAAGCTCCGAGAGCATCAAGGACCCCCTCTTTGGAATTTGCAAAAGGGAAGCAGCCACACGAATCACTTCTTTTACTCGCTTCTATCTCTGAAGTTTTATCCCGTTCAAAGCATTTTCCAGCCTCCTCGGAAAGGTTTTGAATTGGCCAGTGCTGAAGCGGCTGATGAACCACCACTGAGGGGAGATCAAAAGCCCAGAGAAGCTCTGAGCGAAATCATCATCACCTTTCATGCCTTCTCGGAACAGATGGCTTGATGAGTTCAGGTCGATAAAAAGCCCTCTCTGATCCTCAGTTGTTGATTGAGCCTAGTCTTGGATTTAGATCCGATAACCAGGGTAGGTTGATCGCGAGTTCAAAGTCAGCCAACCAGCAATAGCTGGGATCCATAAACCCCTTCCATGTAGTTCTTCCAAGATGAATGTGTGGATTCAAATTAATTCCGCTAATTGTTTACATTTAGGAAAACCCGTAGTTCTCAACAAGTAAAATATAAGCTACAGTCATGCTTCCATCAGCGGTAGATCTATTGAGTTCAATAGGTTTTATTCCTAAGTAAGTAAAAGACAGGATTTCCTCCACCTATTAAGCTACTGATCCTTGATTTAGGAAAAGAAAAAACCTGAACCCTTCCACAGCGAAAACGGTAAAATCAAATGAGAGTGACCAATAGATTTATTTCATAGGTTTCCACTGGTGGCAGACGAAAAAATATTTCAATATAGCAATCATTGAACTTAAGTGGTTATTTTATTTTTTGTCTTCACTTGACGCCTTTTTCACAATACGCTCCCCCAGAAGGCCAAAACTAATGTGGCATTCTGACTCAGCGAGGGAGTGCTTGCTTTAGGGATATAAAGAGCTTCAGGATTAGTATCTGGTGAGCAACAGAGATAAAGAGGTAGCAATTTGCCCCTGGCTAATCAGAGTATTTCAGGCATCATTATTAGAAGAGTGTCACAGAGCAGGAATAGGCTTGGAAGCACTGGAATATTTGGGAGCACAATACATCTGTAGTATTGGTAATGTTGCTTGGGATAATGGGATACGAAGCCCAAACTATCTGAAAGACATTTGGTTGTCTACCTAACTGCATGGTTGCTAATTATTAAAAAATATTTTGAAGCCAAATCCAGATGAGTCACTTTCCCAAAATTGTAACAGATGGAACTGGGCATTTAAATTATATAACTCAAATTTCTTACTAAAGGCATCTAAACACAGATGGTTGTTTAACCTTGACTTCTGCCATGGAGCAAAGGAGAACTCACCATCAATTCATTGTTCTTATTGTTAGAAAGCTTATTGGATTATTCAGTCAAAATCTGCTTTCATATGATTTAAATCCATCATTCCCTATTCTGCATTCTAGAACAATGGAGAACAGGCCTTGACCTGCTGTAAGATATCCTTCTAGGGATTTGAAAAGTGACATCACATCCTTCTTAATCTCGTCAAGGTTAACCATTCTTAATTTCTTCATAGGACTTAATTTCTAATCCTGTGGTTTTCAGTTTCATCATGACATGACGCTAAATATATCTCTAGAAACACAAACACATGGGATAATTCAAGGTTGAGGTGAAAATAGGTAAGTTGCTTTCATTTCAGATTTGGAAGAAGCTCTACCAGTGGTGAAGATCAGGTCTACAGAAGCTAGTCATATTCATTTCTCACATCTGGGGCTGAAATTGTGTCTCTTTTCCTCCCTTCCCACCACTATATGAAAGCTGGCTTTTCATTTCTCAGGAAAGCATCTGTGCAGTGTTTTGACAGCAAAAGAGACACCATCAAAATTGTAGAATTATGCAAGCGATGGTATTTCTTATGACATTCTATAGTAGCAAATATTTTGAAGAGCAGATAGGATGGACATGATACTCTTGAACTTTCATATTGGAGAATACGGGAGATTGAGGATACCATGGACAGCCAAGAAAACATATGAATGGATTGTTGGTTAATCCCATTAACCCAGATTTCTCATTTAAGGGACAAAAGACCAAGTTCAAATTATCCTTCTTTGGATATATAGTTCTCTAGAGAAGGCTTGAATGCTTGGAAAGGTGGAAAGAAAGAAGAGGCCAACCAGCCGCAAGAGAATGACTAAAACATTAGAAGTACTAATTCAGCTCTTTTTTTTTTCTTACTTTATCATGGTGGTTCTGAGTCATATACAGACCCAGGACTGAAACTTGTTACACTCCAGTTGGTAGCCAATTTATCCCATATTTCTGCTCCTTTTACATTCTTGACTAAGGTTTTCATATTAATACCATGTCAGAGATAGCTAATCCTGTTGTGCATTTTATCCTCTCAGTGAGCAAGATGACAGTAAGGCAAATCCAGAATGTCCTAGAAGAACCATGATTGACACAGTTGGGCTTCTCAGAGATACTGCAGAATTTAACCATGATTAGGAAGCTAGTCTGTGCAAGAAGCTATCCAATGTTCCATCATCCAAAGCTTTGACAGAAAATTGAAACCAATTCAGAGTTATAGTATTACTCTTTACTTTTTGAAAACTGAGTTTGTTTTCATCCAGTTATAGAAAAACAGATGAGAAGCAGGAGTTCAAAGGATGGGATCTGCAGCACTGAACTGGAAGTGAAACATAATGCATCTCTGCCTTCTACAAAAGAGACCAGATAGAGAAGCTTTGCTATTTTTTTTTAAATGAAAAACCTATGTTATCATATCATGCATCACATAGTGGATGAAAATAAGATTGTGTATTTGTTTTTTCTGGGAAGATAAAAATTGATTACTCTCATGGGAACTCTGTCACTGACTTTTTAAATATCATCTCAGATTCTCAGGGTTTGTCCCATGATATTTCGTAGCTACAAACCAATGACAATGAAACCCCTTTTTTTCCTTGTATCTGGGAGCAATAGATTAATTTGTTCAAAACACAGAATTGATTCCTAGATGCCTGACTGCTCTATGCTACCTTAGTAGGCAGTTGCCTTTCAGTGGTCAAAAGAGTCAAGATGGCAGCCCCAATGGTACCACTGAAACCCCACCCATTTGTAATGTGCACCAAGGACACTCCTGTGCCTTTCTCAGTTGAATGGTAGCCCTGTTTAATGGCAGGCAGCTGGAGGAAGATCCACCTCTATTTCTCTTGGAAGAGGAAGGAATATGAATAATCATTAAGAAACTCAGTACATTGGAATGCTTCCTGCCACTGAAAACTGCAGGGATTGTTTCCCAATGCATACAACCCACTCAAACTCCTCCTCTCAGAATCAGAACAGAGCTGGAAGGGACCTTGGAGGTCTTCTAGTCCAGCCCTCTGCTCAAACAGAAGACTCTATACCATTTCAGACAAGTAGCTGCCCAGTCTCTTCTTAAAAACCTCCAGTAATGAGGCACCCACATTGTCTGAAGGCAAGCTGTCCTCACTGTTAGGACGTTTCTTCTTAATTCCAGGTTGCTTCTCTCCTTGATTAGTTTCCATCCATTGTTTCTTTGTCCTGCCCTCTATTTTTAAATAGCTCTCCGTTAGTCTGAGGCTGTTCCAGATCTACCGAATTACAATTTCCACCAGTCCAAACATTTATTCCTAAAAGGAAAACGCTGCTCCTCCCTCTGCTGCTTTTCTGGACAGGTTAACTCCGGATTATCCTAACCTAGAGACAATCCTTTGGGGCGAAAGGGAGAAGGAAGCGTCCAGGGTCCACCGCAGAAAGCCAGCAGCACTGCCTTATTAGAAAGGGAAGAAAAGAAAACTCGCCGACGTGTTGATCAACAATCCAAGCTCCCCGGATCGCTTGAAAGGAGCAGGGAGGAGGCGGCGATGGTCGCCTTGGGCTCCGCGGATGTGTTTTCTCAAGCCAAAGCCGGGCCAGCGACCGGTGTCAAATGAAGCTTGCTGGGGCCTCTCTTTGAAGCGTGGAGGTTACGAAAATAAAGTCCCACGACTCCAGACTTTCATCAGCTGTCTGGCGGCATCTGCAAACGGGCTCTCCCGCCTTCTTCCTGGAGCTTCTTCTCTGCCACCCCGAGCCGGACCGTGCTTGATTGCGGGCAGTGCCCGAGCGAGGAAGCCAACCGGCGGGCTGCCCCATCAACATAGCC